AGTTATCGAACGCAATTTGGGAGACCAAACAGACTGATTGAGATTTGACATTTGAGTATCAAGCCTGGGTAACTGTTATTGGGCGAAAATCGAGTGAACACAATCAGGTCTTTGCGTAGATCCAAAATTTATAGATAAACACCCGTAATCGACAGTGACGGAGATAGCGACACTGAACTGTGCCTGCGAGGATGGCTTGTAGTTGCAGGGGCTTTAATCCCATCCTTAGGATCGAGAGGATCCTGAATCTTGACGAAGAGTTCCGTCCCTACTAATGAAAATCAATTTCATGTGTTCCACCTCAGGAAACCTATAAGCCATGAGGCAAGCCACAGAAGAGTGCTAGTATATTGAATCAACTGCAAATTCGAAAACCAGCTGTTTCGAATGTTTCAATGCTATACCGAAGAATGTAGGCTAGAGGATCACCAATACACTTCTGAGTAAAAAAAGCTGATTTATATAAGGACACAAAAATTTATTAATGCAATAAAAATCTTATTTAACAATATGCTGATTCAACAGTTTCGATATGCCAAACATCTTAAACCGACTCTTTCCGAACAGTTTCTTCCAGCTCTCATCGCAAATGACGAATTGCTTGTTTTCAGGGTCCTAAGGGGGGTCGATATAAGTATAGTTTTCAAGAATAAAACATACAAAAAGTTGTTTTTCCCTTGCTTCCTGCCAAAATCGCTTTACAAGCTCGGCCCTAGAGAGAGCAGTTTCGCCGAGGTGAGCGGCCAGCTCGTCAGAAAGCATGACAGGCTTTGTGAAACCACCGCCACTCCTACCACCACTCTTGGATGTACGTTCCTGTTTCGGTTTTGCTAAAAAAGTACATAACGACAGAGCCAGCACATACGAGCAGCTTTGCGACGCCTCATCCCATTTTCTTCAGCATGAATAGTGCGAGCATATTTATCATCTAAAGTTTTTCGGCGCTTAAGAGAACCCGATCCATCAAGACAGCTCCCACTCTCGTCACCAGATTCAGACCCACCTATCAACCACTGATACAGTAAAAATGATTACTAGTAGAATCAGTGGATTTGTCTTCCCGAGATTCCAAAACCTTCATTATCATCTTGTCGATGCTAGACTTTCGGTCATACAAGTCAATGTTAAAGCGATCTTCTAGAGTTTTACGAACGGTTTTGGCAGTGACAATGGATAAGTCAGCATCTTTAAGGATTTCTATAAATGGGTGTAAGGAATATGTAAGGACAAAACGTACCCTTTATAGCGGCGTTGAGTTGACCATCGGTCGGCTCTGCCATTTTAAGAAAGTCGCCTACCGCAGCGCGTGATTAAACAATGCGTGTTTTAATATTTAAATTAAGGCTTGATATCTCGAAGATCGAAAATAACTGGCGCATACTAACGTTGCGATTTTAATAACTTGTCAACTTCACTATATTAAGGTTATTACTATTATATTAAACCTACATTTTATTGGTACTTTAACACTTCTGCAAAGCACTATGATTACATTGGGTTGTACAAGGCAATCAAATTAATTGTGTAAGTTTCACGGCTTGCTTTTGCAAGTCAAAATAAACTGGTAGGATGTGCAATGCCATTTGGAACGGATGTTCATTATTTATCCTTTAGACAACCGTATCCAATCAAAAGGTTTCGACTCAAATCCACTCAGAGCCATGAAAAGCAGTAGTCGCGTGTACATCATTTAAATTAACACTAATGCTGGAATTTAAGCACTTGTGCTCGGTCCTACAGGCTTGCGAGTTCTCAGGATTTTAGGATGTAGTCATTTCAAAGAACATTGTATTTAAATAGAAGTCTCACATCATGGCACCTAACATCGATTGGTGAAGGTGCTTACTGGTACATAATAAAACAATCTTGAGCAAAAGTAGCATGCATAACGCCTATTACTCTTTCAAACCCTTGAGTGATTCCATGTGTATTTACCCTAACAGCATCAGATTCTATTATTTATGCCTTATACAGACATGACATCGTGGTTTCTTTCAAATATTATGCAAGTATTTAAAGTCAGTTATTAATTTATCTTACTTTAGATGCAGAGTGGTCACTTGATTTCAATCGTCTGCCTTAGCAATTGACGTATGCCGATTTCGAAATCGGCAATCGGCGTTCCCTTCCTTTGGAAATCGAAATAGTATTGCAGAACATAAGCTGCTGCTCCGATTGGCTTCCCAACAAGTTTAAGACTTTAATTTGGGCTGGTTACATGTATTCTTAGAGGAAAAGAAGATAGTGAACCTTAGCTCGGCCCAGTGGCAGGGCGAATCACAGGGTAATTGACAGTTATATAGGTGGTCAAAGAAACAACGCATTGTATTGCTTCTCTCTTCCTTTGAGCAGGA